TATATATATATATATATATATATATATATATGTAAAGCATTTCAAACCCTTCCCACACTCTTGCAATATTCTAAACAATGTTTCTAAACGCTCTAAAAGAGACGAATGTCATGATTTCAGCTCCCTGCCTCCTCTGTTCTCAGCCACATGCAAGCATTCTTGGCCACGCCCACTTCCCCCCCCCCCCTGAACAGAGAACAGCTGATCAGCTGCAGCTGGAAGTTTATCCTGCAGTAAGGGCTGCACAGATGTGCAGCAGGTACTAAATAATTAAAAAAAAATTTATTTTAAATAAAAATGTCATGCCGATCGTGCGGCTCATCCACCAGTCAGCCAGTTGTGTGTCATGTCCAATCTTATTTTGAAAAACCGCGATAGAGCGAGTCCACGATAAACGAAGCTCGAAGTAGGAGGGACTACTGTACAAGCCGTTTGTGAACTTGTGGCTTTGCTCCAAGCTGATCCGAAACACGAAAGTTTCCGATTTGATGAGAACAAAATGTTTTTTATATGGTGTATGTAAACATCTGGTTCAGGTCAGTTTTAGCTAACATCCTGAAACATTTAGTGAAATTAGCAACATTTAAAAATGTTTAGCAGTTGGACAACAATTTTCCTCAAAGGGCAGTTTTCACTTAATTGAAAAGAAGGACGTCATCTGCAAAGCATGACGTAAAATGACATCAAACAAACATTTGGTGCATTTTTGTAAATGTAAAACGCTAAATACGCAGTTAGCAAATTAAACTTGACAGTTAATTTTTTTTTTTTACTGATATCTTGTCCACTGTGTTTGTCAGCACAATCTCATTGGTTGGTTTAAAGAGACGTTTTAACTTTCCACGTGAGTTTTTTTTGTTTTCATCCGTTTATATTTGGATGATGATGATGATGATGATGAGGGCTGGACTGAGAAGGGCCGCTTCTTTCCCTCGAGCCTCATTTTATTCACTCGTTCTCTATAAATTAGAGCTTTTGCAGAAAGTTGCACAATGTTTGCAACTTTTCTTCCACGTGTTTAGGCCTGAAACATTTTTATCATTTCAGTGTTTTGTAAGTGAAATGCTTAAAATGAACGTTTTGTTGTTTTGGAAAAGACTTGATTAGTTTGAGTCATAAAAGTTGTGTTCTGCATGTCTTTAATGTAATTAAGAGTAAATGTTTATATTCTTCCATGTTGAAATGTTTAGGAACTTTGAAAGGATTCATAGGTCGCAGTTCAAAATATTTCTCTGACAATTAGCAGCTAAAAGGGCTGAAAAAGCAAACGACGCCCGAGGACAAACCTTCAGGAAGTCTGGAGAGGTGTTGCTCAGGACCACTTTCAGAGATCAAAAGAAAGTTTGTCTGCTTGGAAAGCAAATATGAACGAGGCCCGCATTAAGACTTTTACCCAGTTCAGTAGCTGTGGAGACGTTCTGGGTGGCTCTGCAGATGAACTTCAGTGTTTCCATGTGGAGGTTTGTGTTGGGATCCAGATTACGAATATCTCCAAACTGTTTCCTGTAGATTCCATCACCCCATCCTGGGCCGGGTGGAGGAGGGTTTCCAGACGGAGGTGGACGTCGTGACCCAGCTGCTGCGCTGCCAGGCTCAAGTGTCCGAGTGGCACTTCCTGCCGGCCCTGCTCAGCCTGCACGGCGCTCACTCCAAACTCACCGCCTGGGCTCAGCTCTTCCAGCGGCAGAAGGAGACCCGGAAGCACCTGTTCGGAGGTCAGTCCCAGAAGGCCGTGCAGCCCCCCCACCTCTTCGTCTGGCTGCAGCGCTTCCATTCGGCGCTGCTCGCCAAGTTCAGCTTCTACTTCCACGAAGCTCTGAGCCGGCAGACCACGCCCACCGACATGAAGATGCTGACGGCGCGCACCGCGTCGGACTACTACGGGAAGATATCCGCCTTCATCCGCAAACACGACGCCAGCAACGTGTCGCTGGTGTTCGACAACCGCGGCTCGGAAAGCTTCCAGGGCCACGGGTACCACCACCCGCAGTCGTACCGCGAGGCGCCGAAGGGCGTGGAGCAGTTCCCCGCCGTGGTGTCGCTGCCGTCGGGAGAGCGGCCGCTCACGCACTGGCCCAACGTCATCATGATGATGAGCGACCGCGCCGCCGAGCTCAACGCTCTGGACAAGGTGGTCCAGTTCTACGACGACAAAGTCCAGAGCACCTACTACCTCACGCGGCCCGAGCCGCACTTCACCCTGGTGGTCATCTTCGACGGCAGGAAGTCGGAGAAGGATCAGCACATCACCGCCTTCCTGCAGGAGATCTCCGGCTCGCTGCGGAACTCCAAACCCTTCAGCATCCTCAAACCGGGTTCAAAGGGCTGAACTGGGCTCGGTCCGGGTTCTCAAGACCCGTTAGACCCACAAACCAAAAACATTTAGCCTAAACCGTGAATTTATTTCAGATCGAGACGGCGACTTAAACAAAACATTTATGTTTACCAGCTTTTATTTGATTGAAGTTCATGCTCAATAATCCAGGTAAAGAAATCCAACAATGTTCAGTCAGGTCATCTGGACGGTTTCTTTTTTTGTTGAGACGTTTCACCTTCATCAGTCTGGCTCCTCAAACGTGTCTCATCAAAACAAGAAACTGTTCACATGACCTGACTGAACAGCGTGGGGAGCTTTTATTTCTTTTTCTGCTCCTAAACTCAAAGTTTTGAGATGATTCCACGTAAACTAAATAATAATTTTATCGTCTTCGATAAATTACCGCTCAGTTTGGTTTGAAATGGGGTTTAATAACTCAAAAGGTTGTGGAGGAATTTTGACCCACTTTGCTTCACAACGTTGCTTTGGTTCACCCAGGGTTCTGCTCAGATCTTGGAGGTTCTCACCACAGCATTTCAATCAGCCTGAGGTTCTGGACTTTGAACCTTCGTAGAACACTGATGCAAGCTTAGAACCAACACGGAACCCATTTCAAGCCCAGAACCATCACAGAACCGCTTATTCCTGATAACTGTGACTGAATGCTCCTGTTTCTCTTTGGTCCATTCCTTTAAAAAAAAACCTCAGGAATCCTGATTCGTCTGATTCTACTGTGTGATGGTCCATCCCAGTCGGTGCTGCCTCTGGACCGGGTCCACTTCAGACTTCTATTTTGCTCAGTAAAGTTTTAAAGTGAAGTAATTCTTGACCGTAGAGCTCAAAGGTTTCTCAAAGCCATCCCTGGTCCATGTGGTTCTATCAGATGCTGATCAATGATGGTTCTGGATATGGTTCCGTCTGAGGGATCAGTTTCTGGCAGTCCAGTTTGGGCTGGCTCCCTGAACTTCCTCCAGATTCCCTGAATGGCTTGGTGATATTCTACACAGTGGAGTGTAAATAATTATCTTTTTGTTCTTGATTTTCTCACATTTGGCCTGAAAACATTGTTGATCCTCAAAACCTCGAATTGATCCATTGATTTCACTAAAACATGATTAAAATCGTGTTAGAAATGACATCGTTGCAGGTTTTACTGCTTTACCACCTTTAAATTCCATGTTGTTTTTAATGTGACGCTCATACCGTCTACAAAGAAACACAAGTCAACATAAAGGTAAGAATACCCGATACCCGGGGCTTCTAATATTTTAAATGACTCCAAGACGTTTTGTTCCAACTTGGCTTGAATGACAGAAAGCTGATCAGATTTAGAGTTTGAGGTTTTATTGATTTCCTTCACAGAAACCTACAGAGAAAGATTCATTTCATCGATGACTTGAATGCTAATTTATTCAGGTTTATTTATATTATAAATACAACACGATGATACAATCCATTTGGCTATATGAGCTCAACTTCAGGAAGCTCAGTTGTCAAATACAGCAACACCAACAAACAAAAAAAATGTTTCCGTTATCATGAAACACGTTCAAAGAAAACCTCCCTTTAAGTTAAAATGCACCAACATGTCATGATGCTACATGCCAAGTACACGATCCTATACATCAAAGTGCAATGTCACAATGGGGTTAATGATTTCATACGTCAGGAATCTACTAAACACTATGATTAATTCATTCAGAGTGCTGCTGCTCTTTGTTCAGGACATGCGTGAGTGGATTCACAACTCCCAAAAGACGAGGATTTAAAAAAAAGGCACTTTCACCAAAACACACACACAAGTTTGTGTCATTAGGACTTTGTATTGAATCCCATTCATTTCTGTAACCCTAACCAGTACCAGTACATGCTTAAGTCTAGCTCTAACGAGTACCAGTACATACCTTACCCTTGCCCTAACAAGTACCAGTACATACCTTACCTTTGCCCTAACAAGTACCAGTACATACCTTACCCTTGCCCTAACAAGTACCAGTACATACCCTTGCCCTAATGGGTATCAATACATGCCTTACCCTCGCCCGATCAGTGCCAGTAAATATCTTACCCTAGCCCTAACGAGTACCAGTACATGCCTTACCCTTTCCCTAACCAGTACCAGTACATGCCTTACCCTAGCCCTAACGAGTACCAGTACATGCCTTACCTTTTCCCTAACCAGTACCAGTACATGCCTTACCCTAGCCCTAACCAGTACC